ACACACACACACACACACACTCTCCTCCTCTCTCTCTCTCTCTCTCTCTCCCCTCCCTCCTCTCTCTTCTCTCTCTCTCTCTCTCTCTCTCTCTCTCTCTCTCTCTCCTGGCGGTGTTTTGCAAGTTGCTTAGTCCCCCACAGAGTTCAGGAAAAACAAACAGTCAAAGCAGGCAGCGGAATCTCAATACCAGAAGTTAATGGAAAATCTCCAAACTCCAGGGAGCCTGAGGAAGGCTGGAGCACAGAACTCACTGAGCCAAGCCCAGGGCTTTTACTGTCAACACTCTCAGAAGTTGCAATTATGATACGATTTTATCAGCGACATGGGCTTTGCAGAATTACAGAATGTCTGTATTTACACTTCAGAAGTCAGAAATAGCTCAGATATTTTCCCCGGGAATATTTTTATGGAGAAGTTTAGAATGGATCCGCAGTGAAGAATATCTTTAATGTGGTTGTAACCTGTGTGTTCCCTGTGTTTCCTTAGTCCACGTGGAGTCCGGGGGTTCCCTACACATCACAGCTGATGAGAAGGGAGAATGGGAAGAAGCATGTAAAATACGTGTGTGCACGTGTGTGCCTGCGTGCAAGCGTGTCCAGTCCTGGAATCTGAGCTTGCCTCTCCTTAAGGGTGGTAAACCTCTGTTTTCCTAGGTCCAGCAATTTGGCAATTAATTTTGTAATTAAACAGACACCCCTGGGTCCCAGGAGACCTGGGTGAAAAAGCCTGCTGGCTTTTAGTATGTGGCTTTGGGGAAATCATTTCCCCTCTCTGGAATGCAGCTTCCACATCTGGAAAAAAAATAAATACAGTATAGTCTAAATCCTTGCAACACAACGTGTGGCTGTGGGCCAAAGGCATCACCAGGGAACATGCTAGAATTGCAGAATCTCAGGCCCAGAACGACTGAATCAGAATCAGCATAAGAACAAGATTCCCCGCACGACTCTGTGCACTTTGAAGTTTGCGGAGCCCTGGTCTAAATGATCTCCAGCGGCACGTCCTGTTAGTTTCACTCTTGTCCCTTTCGGCTGGAAAGTTAACACCCCGCGCCCAGTGGCTGCCTTATGACCTTGCGGTTGTGCCCTGGGAGAATCCGGCTCGATCCTTGCAGGCTGATTTCACTCCTGTTCCGGGCAATGACACATAAACAAATCAGATCATCTCCATGATTCGCCCAGAACCCGAAGTCACACTGTGTCTTCCAACTTCCTTCCATGCCTCTCAGGAGAATGCCATCCCTTCCTGCTTCATACCTCCAGGCTGCTCCCACAGCCATCACTGGGCTTGAGGCGTTTTGCAAACACGAATTAGTGAACAGGAAAGACTCTGGATGAATTCTTACAGTGACAGTCTTTTGGTGCTTAACGAAGCCACGATTGCTAATAAAAAGCATGAACTGACTGAGAATGAGCCAAGTCTGGTGACGCTCACTTAATCTTCTGCTGGATGGGGTTGGAGGTGGGGAGATTAGGCAGAATCCTGAGAAGTTAATGAGTCAGGAGCTCACGAAAGCATTTTAAACCTCTTTCTTGTGAGAAAGTTGAAGAATGAAGTTCGTAAAGATGGATATGTTCATAGACACCCATTCTCCGTGACAAATGGGTTAATCTGAA